AATAACTTGCAAGAACCTATTTTCTGTTTTTTGTTTGCTATCATATTACCAACATGGTCCTTCATCTTTTGAACCTCCGTTCCCCATGAAACCCAAGGCCTTTTAAACTCTAATGTCTTACTACGAAAATCATTTTCAGGACATGTGGAAACAAAATTTTCCGGATCTTGTTTCCGGACATGAAGGTGAAATTTCTGTAGCATTTCTATTCTTATTCCAACCATTATGAAGAGCTTCAACGATTTTTGTTCGATTGAGAAATGTTCGCTCTTTATTACCATGTTACGTTCAGACATAAAATCTTATTACTTATCTTTTGCCTAAAATGGAAAATGAAGTGTAAGAAAATAACATCCAGTGAAAGAGTCAACGATTTTCATCATATGGGCAAGAATAAGTGCAATAAAAATCTCTCGTGACGACTATCTTCCACAGTTAACCGCTTTTCACAGTAATATGTATACCTGAGGCAAAGAATATTGCCTGAGGCCCCATAGGAGTCGATTGGGGACAACCTTCGGCGTTCTGGTTAAGACGTGTACTTAGACAGACTCGACTTCTGGGGTACACAATTTGTCTTCACAGGACTATACCTACAGATAATTCGATGGTCCTTTCAGGCTCGGCAAGGGATCATAATGGTACTATCAAATCGGTCTCGCGCTGTGTGATCGCTACGTTTTTGATATTGTTAAGGTTGTCCTCGGAAATTCACCTTCGTCGATCAACTCAGGAAGACTGGCGTGTACTGTCTAACGTTGTATTAGTTTTTCGGTGACCGTTTGGTGTCTGGGCGCCCTGTCTTGTGCTCATAAAACTGATGTTGTTCATTGTAACCCAGGGTTGACTACTGGGGCTTGCACCCCCGTGGATCGCATCAAGACGTTTAGGCATCATTCCATGGTAAGAGGTATTTTAAAGCTCAGCGTAGGAAGTTTCTACCTTCTAGTGCATTGTATATCTGAGAACGTAAATAAACATCTGTGGTGAGCATTACTTTTTCAAGGCGACCATTTCTATGTGAGACAAAAATCATAAGGAAATTAATTGTCGTCACAGGAAGGTATTACTATATTGCAATAGCAAAGTAGATTTGGGAAGAATTAAAAGTGGTAAAACTTGCTCGAAATTACTCTGTACTGTGAACCCTCTCGTAACAACCACTCATCTAAGATGATTACTCCTGAAAATAATCTGTGTTTATAAGAACTAAATAAATATCCATACTGAATATAATTCTTCTAAGACAACCATCTCCACAGAAGACCAAAATCGTCTGGAACCTAGATGGTAGTTTAATTTCTTACAGCTTCATTGTCTGTTCAGCCAAAGGTGACCATAATGTGATATCCTAAAAATGTCTCCTTTATGTTGGAAAAATCGAATAGGGTCGCTTTTTCTCTCCCGACTTATGAAAGTAAAAAATAGTTCGTTCATCACTTCTAAATAAACTTTGAAATTTAATAGAAAATAAATGTTAAAACAGTGGTCTCAGACTCAAATTGCAGGCGGGCCTCATGCAGGTTCTAAGAACAGCTGAAGGGCCAAAAATGTTGCCGCTTTCATACCGTGAGTAGGTCGATAAAATGAGTACCAAGTTTGTTGTTGGCTTAACACCAGGGGATGTGCGACAGCTGATCACTTTGTCCAGGGTATATGCTCATGCACCTTGGAGCCCACGTTCAAGACAGCAGATATCAGGACACTGCAGGCTATGGCCCCAACTAAGGACTATTGCGGCATTTAGTTTAAATATTAAATACTTAGACTGCCATTTCTTTCAACTAATTCTTACATGTCTAATTAATAATTAACTTTAATTTAAACTAAAAATAAATAAATTACAAAATTTCCGAAGGTTTTTGTGAAAATTTATTATGTCGGAGAAAATTTGAAAATAAATAATGACAAATTAGTCTCTCTCTGTTATTTATGAAATTGTTCTTCGTTTAAATAAAAATATATATGTTTTATGTAAATAATTACAAAGCTCTTCAGTTCTTACACTCTTGACACTCGATGGCGTTTCGATTCTGATGAAGTTTATAGCCTTGGAGAGAAATTATCTTTATCATGGATTGTATATACTCATCGAACAATCGGGTTCTTTTTTAATTAATTTTCAACTGTGGTGAGGGAAAGCTATTTATTTATAAATTTATTCACAAACAAAGCGATTACTCTTAGTGAAAAAATTCGTAACTTATTTAGTTTTTTTGACTAGTAGGTATAAAATTTAATGAAATCTTCAAATCTTTGAATAAGATTTAGTACATCACACTGTAAGTTAATCATTATAGATTTTCGGATGCAATATTTACTTTTTTTTCCAACGGTAATGAAAATACTATAAACTCGAATTTAGAATAACTGCAATCTTAAAATCTTTGCAACAAATTTATAACTGAAATATCTTCACGGAGCGCATAACATTGCTTCAGAAATGGCATGCACCTTTGGGCCGTCAGTTTGACAGGCCTACACTATATTTTATATGTTACATATGAATATTCTTTTTATATAAAGACTATGTTAACACATTTTTAGAACGATTTCGATAAAGAATTAGAAAAAAGAAAATGTTTTGGAATAAAAATTTCTGGCAACAACTCATGGTTTAAGTGAAAAAACCGTATAGAATATATTATATTCTTTTAAACTTATTCTTCTCTCAAAATTTTAACTTCAAACAAAGTGTGGGTAAAAGGATAGGGAAGGAAAGAGAAATATTCCTAGACCGGAGAGAAATATCCTACTTCGAAGAAAAGAGATCGAGAGAAATATCTTAATCCGAAGAGAAGAGACCAAGAGAAATATTCTAGTCCGAAGAGATATATTCTTAGTCCATAGTTCAGAAACGTTCTAAAATGCATAGTATTAAAATTTCTGTACTGGAAAAAAAAAAAGCAACAGTATTGATCGTAAAAGGAAATATCCGAAATACCATACGAATACCCGAAAAATGGGTGCGTACTGTTTGTAATGTTTCTAAAGTTAAATCATTAATTAGTAACAAGATAAAATGACGCTAAATCATAAATAAATTAAAAAGTCTTGAAAGGCATCTGTAGAAGCAATAAATAAAATAATAAACGAAGATTTACAACTCAAAACAGCTAAAAACCATGATGTTCATCATATTCTGCCGAGGCAACAATGTTTTTATTCCTGTATGAGAGCAATTTAGCAGGAGAAAATTGGAAATATATTGTGACCCTTGATGCAGCATGGGTTTACTTAGATAACTGCAATAAACACATATGTTTGTAACTAAAACGTATGCTATTAATTATCGAAAAAGAAAGTTTACAGACCTAGCAGAGCCATGCCAAGATATTTTTTCACTTGAGACAAAAAAGTAAATGTGCGCCCCTATGTATATATATATATGAAATAATAGCAGCAAGGAAAAGCCGGAACATTGTTGATGCGTAATATCCAGATAAGATAGATCGTAGATCCATATTGAAGAGGAAGAATTCTGATTGCATAGTATGCTAATATGTTGTCTTCGTAATATCTAAAAAAAAAATTGGCAAGTCGAGGCAGTTTTAATTCTATTTTTATTTTCCAGTTGACGTTTGTGTCCACAATCACTTGACACCCTGGTCGAGCCTGTTCAAGAAAATTTACATTTTTGATATTGTTTGAGATAGAAAGCAAGCCAGAGAAATTACATCCAAGCAGAGCAGAGAGCGAAACTAAAGTGCGTAGTTATGCAATATGGAAGCACGGGAAGAGGAAAGTTTTGGTTCTCAATTATTACGTCGTCAGAGCTGCGCAGGCCATAGAATGATCTAGAAATCTAACCGGAGATTCTATTATGATTTTTAAAACAGAGAGGGAGAATTAATATTTTATCCTTTGTTTAAATTATAATTTTGATTTACATATTTTTTATCTTACATATATATATATCAAAATAGCTATATTTGTATTAAACAAAAGTAACTGTATTAAATCAAAATATCATAATTTTTATAGCATAATTATACTATAATTATTAAAGTATTTTTTAATCGTAGCTTCATAAATTCAGAAAAATAATATAGCCAATTATTTAACTTCCAAATGAAAATGTTAAAAATTTCTTTTTTGACAAATAAGAAATAACATCGAAATGCACATTGCATTAATTTTCAGATTTTCTTGAAATTGTTCCTATTGTTTTATTAATTTAAGTATGCCGAAGCATATTTACCCTAATAATAACTGACAAATTTAAAAACATAATTTAAGTAATTTTTGAATTCGTATAGCCAGTTTGGCGCCCCTTCTAGTGGTTCACCTGAGGCAACTGCCTCACTTGTCTCACCTTTGTCCCGGCTCTGAGACCTAGTTCCGTCGATGCAAAGCAAGTTCCTGGAAGGCGTTTATGGTGTCGCAGTTTTACCTTACAAATGGAAAATTTAAAATAAGAAAATTGGAAAGAAGTGTTAATATCAACTCAACATAAAATCAAGAGAATATTTTACACCCGATATTAGAAGAAGAAATTTCTTCATGACAAAGAGAGAAGATTCTTCATGACAAAGCAATAAGTACTTCGAAAAATATCCCTCTATTCCTTTGAAAAATGAAGAATTAAACAAGTATTACATACACACATTTTTAACATATTCCTGCGAAGTCTCTTGACGTTTCACGTGATGACTATTGTGCTTCTGATCTCTTGAAAAGAGCTCTTTAAGCGCAAATCCACCACAATGGATGGATTCTGGGAAGAGGAAGGGAAATCAATATCTTCGGAAATTTTATGAAAATTCCTTTGGAAACTTGTAGTCCCTAAAAATGGCTATCAGATGGAATAATTAGGAAAATACTCTCTACATTTCAATTATTAATTAAATGGCTCCGAAATTGTTCTAAAAATGTGTAAACACCCTCTGTAGCATTATATTGTCCGCAGTTTCTTGTATCCTTGAGAAGTTTTGGAATATATCACCTGCGAATAAACGGGCACTATTGTACATCTAAAGAAAGTTCTCGAGGTAGCTAACAAGGATTAAATTCATAAATTTATTTAAAAATAAGTTCTTTGAAGTAAAAAGTATACAGAAGGCAACTGAAAAATATAAATGATATATTCTTCGATTCAACAAACAATAATGTAAAGCATAACCATATTCAAGCTTTCGATGAAATTCCATCAGATATTAAAGGTCTACTAACAGTCTTTCACATTACTTAGCAAATAGCATAAATATGTTTTCTTATTCAAGTTCACTTAAAAGGGGCCACTGTGATATACTCTGGAGGTGGTGTTTCGAGTTTTTTACTATTAAAAACTTGAGGGTAGTGAGCATATCTTGAAGCTGAATCAGTTGAAGATGTTTTTGAAATGGCAGAATAGTCCGGGGGAACGTCATTTAATGGAGAACTGTTGTTAGTACTGGCCATTGCATAATGTTCTGTTTGACGATCATGGAACCGTGTCCATTGGTTACCATGGTACTCTCTCATCACCCTAGGATTGTAGACCACCACTGGAGGTGGATATACCATTCCAGCGTTTGAGGCCTGGCCACTGAACATTTTCTTCAAGAAAAACTTATAAATTAGAACACAACAGGTCAGGAGTAGAAAAACTGATGCAACTACTGAAACCACAGCTATCCAAATGGTGGCTGATCTATCTGATGTCTTTGGAACAACAGGAGTCCAAGTGTTTGCTTTTTCTTCCTTGTAGATGTGAACAAAGTCGTCATTATCTTCTACCAATTGAAATTCTGCAAACAAATGAATAAAGCAAATTTATTATTAAATACTTAAAGATTAATACTTGAAGCATTATAAGATTAATACCTGAAGCGTAAATACTTGGAGATTTCAAATTTTATTTCGGTAATATGGCGTCAACGCAAAGCATAAATTTACAATCCATACACTAATTTATAATTTTAAGGCTCATTTCTTTTAGCGTTCGAAATATGCGTTCCCTTCCCCCCTACTCAGGATTCCAGGAATTATTAATTGAATTTTGTAGCAGTTGATTAAGTAAGCAGTTGATTAGTAAGATGAAAAAAAAGGAGGGGACAGAATATTAAATCTCTTTATTTAGAGCTAATGTAAGCTTGTTAAAAATAATAAAAACATAAATTGAATCTGAAATTCTTCTGATGTCCCTAAAATTAAACTGCTGTTAAATCATGTTAGAAATATATGTTTTCCTATTTGCTGCGGTACTGAAGAATGGCATTATGGCGCTTATACTTATACAACTGGGAGTAGCCGTTGTAAGATGCTTGACTTCATCGTTATCCTTGGGCTTTGAGTTAACCTTGCGTTACTCTTCCGACACCCGCTTCGGTGCCTCTTTGACGTCGATCTCTGCAGTGTGCGTGCAGTTCTTCTGCCGGTCGACTAAAACTGATAATGTAAAAGAATGTGCTGTTACTGGATTCTTTTTGAGCAAAATGAAATAGTATAGAAGCTTTAAACCAATGATCTCAAATTCAAATAGCGTGCGACAAATGCACGACCGCAAAGTATCAGACGGGCCGCAATAATGATAATAATAAATAAATAAAAAGTTCATTTTCCCTTCTGTTGCTAACAAAATAAATTTTTCTAACTAAATTAAAAAATTTTTACCACATACTATAGTGTACAAATTAATCTCCAGTTCATTAATTGGCTACATACTACAGTATGCAAATTAAAGCGATTTTTTCACAGAATTTTAAATTGGTTGCCAGACACAGTTTCATTTGCTTTAATGCTGTCTGGATGTCTGCTTTCGACTATTTAGAACTGGTTTAGATAGTAAATTAGGATTATTGCACCATTTTTTAGCTTGTTTCTGTAAGAAGAGGAAGTTACTTTTGCATACCTTTTAAATACGTTTTTCATTTTAATGTACTAAAAATGGATATAACGCTTAGAGAGTAAAGGTAACCGCACTTAACAGTCACACATCGATGACTACAAGAAATATTGCTTTCGTGTTTAGTGTCGGAAAACAGAGGGTTTCTCACATTTCGAGGAGACACAATGAAACTGGATAATTTTTTTCCAGAAAGGAAGGGCAAATGTGAGAGAAAAAGAGAAACAGCTCTCAAATCTAATATATTCCTACTCCGAAGTAGCACTATTTATCTAACAAAAACCAGTAAAGACCTTAAAAGAGATCTGTATTGTCTACTGGTATTAGTATTCATCTTTCAAACCTGTGGCGTACATTTCACTGCTGGTCATAAGGTGAGAAAAATAATTTAAGGGGAAAAAAAAAAAAAAAAAAAAAAAAAAAAGGACACGTCCAATGGAGCAAAAAAGATTATTGTGGGCCAAAAAATACAAATCTTAGGCCACAAATGACTGGGAAAAGGTCAATTTCAGCGATTAGACTCTTTATTTTATTTTATTTTATTTATTTATTTTAGTCCAAAGGGGCTTTGTCCTGAAGGACTATTGTTTTCGTTTTGCGATTTTGCGTTGAAAACTTTAAAAGGCTGTATCACTTTTCAAATCATCGCCACCAAATACTATTGCTCTGTATTATATTTGAAAAAATTAAATAATGAAGAATCTGCATAAATGTATGTATGTATGTTTCTCGCATTGTGATAAAACAACGTACCTAGAGCCATCCAATTTTGAATGATGTAATCCTACTGCGATTATGGGCAGCTGAAAGCACAAATTTGGAATTTGTTTTATTATCGATTTCATATTTTGTAAAACTTTAACGAATTTGTGATTAACAAACTCAACGATTTAAAAGCGAGCAATGGTTGTTGAGCTGAATTTTATGGTTTAGGTGCAAAGAACATGATATTTAATAAATAAAGGTAACGGTAGCGCATAAAACGTTAAAAAAAAAAAAAAAAAAAAAAAAAAAAAAAAAAAACGACCCTTTGCACGTAATTTAAAATCCGAAACCTTTCAGATTTTATTATTGTTATTATTGTATATGTAGGTGTGTGTTCATGATTACAAATCTAATGTCAATTAGATAAAGCAAAGGTAAATGAATTTCAGATTGATACCCCAACATATCCAACAAACCGTGAAATATCCTCAAAAACAAATGTGTTAGGGTTTTTTCACTGAAGAGATGGCACTGGAAGTCTAGTTTCTATTGACGGAATAATGAATTTTCAAAGTATAAATACATTTTGAAACCTAGGATTGTTCCATTTTTGAAAACATTTGCATTAAGGGAAATTTTAACATGACTTGGCTCTATACCACAATTCGAAAAATGTGAGAAAGTTCATGGTTAAAAATACAATTATTGAGCTAGATCGGCCTGGAAATTCACCAGACTTAAATCCGATCGAAAACTCGTTGCACATTCTTAAGGAAAACCTTATCAAAATGAATTATATGACAAAAAAGGTGCATGATAGGAGGACGCTATAAGGGTATGTTTCATGATAAAAATGTATGCACAAGATTAGTAGATTCAGTGCCTAAGCACATTATAGAGGCCCTTTCTACTAAAGGAGCACATATTTCTTATTAATTTATTATCACTGTAAATGAAAGTAGGTACATAAATTATAAAAAAAAATCGCTTTGTCCCAATTTAATTTGCACGCTATAATATTTGCTAATGCGTACACATAAAAGTAATGCACAGAAAAATTCAAATTTATACTTATTTTCTGCCTGAAATCGTAAGGTTGGTATCTGAAAAGAAATTTTTATTTGTCACAATTTGTAGTGACAGCTAAATATTAAAGTTCAAAAGTGTTGACAATTAAATCTTTAAAATTTTCAGATTGATATTTATTCGAAGAATTGTAATGAAGTAACTCATCAGTAACTTTTTTTAACTTTATTTAAATAGACGTCTTAAGAATAAATGATCACAACTTATTATTATTATTATTATTATTTACTTCCTTGTACGAAGTAAAAAGGAAGTATTTTATTAGATTTTTCTATGAGCAAACAGAAAAAATAATATTGTACGTAAATAATTATAAGCCGCCCAAATGAGATAGTGGTTAGTGACGTTGACTGCCGTACCGAAGGACCCGAATTCGAATCCCGAAGAAGGCATGGATGTTTGTAAATGTATAGTGTCTGTGCGGCATGGGGAAACTCTAAAAATGCGGCGAGTTGAAAGTCCTCTCTAGAGGTTAGTAGGAAGAGAAGAAGGGGGAGACCCTCGGACCCGCCCCCCCTGCGTGCTCCCCATTAAAATTGGGGGGCGAAATTGGGCAAAGTATTACTGTCACCTGTATGGTACTCAAGGCTATTGCCAACGACAAGCGCAGTCTTTCACTCCTTGGCACGATGAATTTCGTGGGCTTGTTCTGATGTTACTGTCAGGCAAGTGAGATAAGTCACAACAACAAAAATATTTATAAACTAAATAGTTTCGTACTATACTTTTCAGTGGCAACGCCTCATGGCGTTTCAATTTTCATAAAGTTTGCAATCTTGGAGAAAGTATCTTTATCACAAACAATAAATACTCGTCGGCAGTCTGGTCCTTTTTGTAGACATTAATTTTCAGCTACGGGGGGAAAAAAAAAAAAAAAAAAAAAAAAAAAACTGTTCACATGTACTTCTAAAATTAAGAGATTATTTTTATTGCAAAAATTCGTAGCTGAAAATATTTATTTTTTGACAAGTACTAATAAAATTTAATCAGATTTGTATTTTCAAGTTTTTGACTAAGATTTATATCACAATGTAAATTAATCAGCTCCATATTTAGATCTTCCACAAAATTAACGTTCGTTTTTGGCAATGAAAATAATGTAAAATATGACTCCAAACCATTAAAGTCATACAATGTTTTCTTCAATTCTTGTCATAATAATGCTAATTACTTTACGGAAAATGTATTCGCAAGCCTCATAAAACAGGCCGCCAGTTTCGGACTACTGCTTTAGACCATCTACGGTACTAGACCTTGGTCTTCTATGAAGGTGGTCATCTTATAGAGAATTGATGCTCAGTACCGATGATTTTTATGTTCTCAAGAAGTACTAATAACTTTCAGCGGGATCGTGTTAGGTAAATAGTCACTAAAAGAGGATTTACTACAAAACCAACCCTACAAATGAAGTCATAAAATGCTTTGTCATGCCATAAATTGCCTGAATATTAGCATTTTGAGTATTAATTCACTTCTTTTTCAGTGACTTAAGATACCAGCTTCAAGGTAATCTAGATCAGGGACTCTCAGCCGTTGATCCAGCAGCATAGAACCGGTCTGCTGAAAAATTTGACCGGTCCTCGGAGGATTTTACGGAGATGTCCGCGTTAAAAAATTTCTTATTAATAATAAAATTTTATACGATATTTTTAATGCCATTAATTTTAGAAGTTAGAAGCCATAATTTTGTCTTTGAAGGTTGGCAACAATAGAATGTGCTCACAGCTCACATTTGCCACTTGTTACTTCTCTCTTTGTTGTTTTAACTGGACGGAGAGAATGGGTTGCCATAATGGTGGCTTGGCAAATGCGGTCAAGAGCAGGAGACTGACGTTAATTACGGAAGGGGAAAGTAAACGGCTGTGTCAAGGATCATAAGGGGAGATATATTTAAAAAAAAGTGTTTTTAGGTCTCATTCAGTATCAGTATATCAGAAATAAATGATGCACATGGTATCAGAATGGAGACAAATTACATACGATACGAAAAGTTATATTTATTTGTTTATTACCATTTCATTATTACATTGTTTTCGTTCAGGAATTTCCTTCCACCCCCCTCTGAGCAATACATACAGGTACATGTAAGTCGGCTGCTATAAACAAAAGCAC